TGCAAAGATTATGCAGTTAAAATAAAGAGGAGTTATCCTAGCATAGATTTATATGATAACATTCCATGAGTAGACATTATTTAAGAAATAGGATGAAGACCTTGAATGTAAGGCCCCCGAGGCGTATCCCAGCCAGTACACAATCTGGCAACGTTAGTGTGTTAGCGCATGCGCAATATCTCCCGAGAGAAATCGTATTTTGCAAAGATTATGCAGTTAAAATAAAGAGGAGTTATCCTAGCATAGATTTATATGATAACATTCCATGAGTAGACATTATTTAAGAAATAGGAGGAAGATCTTGCATGTAAGGTTACCACTGCGTATACCAGCCAGTACAGAATCTGGCTACGTTGTGTGTTAGCGCATGTGCAATATCTCACCATAGGAGACATATTTTGTGATGAATATGCACTTACAATGGTTACTGGGTATCTCAGCATAGATTTGCCTATTAAACTTTTATCAGTAGCCCTGTGTTTATAATTAGGAGATCGCCCTAAAATGAAGGGTACAAAACACCTACTTTATGCCCTTGCGTCCTTCCCCTTGCCTCCCCTCTCCCTCGCTCAGACTCCTTCTTCTACCGCCCCCAGCTTTCTCCCCTGCCGCCTTTCCTCAGTCTGCCATCCCCTCTTTCCCTCAGCAAGCTATATTATAATGGTTGCATAAGACGGCACTGTACGCCTAACACGGTTCGCGCGCATGCGCAATATCTCCCAAGTGAAATCGTATTTTGCAAAGATTATGCATTTAAAATAAAGAGGAGTTATCCTAGCATATAGATTTATATGAGAACATTTCATCAGTAGACATCATTTAAGAAATAGGAGGAAGACTTTGCATGTAAGGTCCCCGCTGCGTATGCAGGCGACAGATATCCACATCCAAGTGGGCCTTAAGCCACCGGGGGCCTAGGGCCCCGCCGGCGCAATAATACACTGTGTAAGTGATGCAGCTTACTTTTCTTTGCTGGAGGCGGTAAAGCTTACAACCAAGGCTTATCACACACTACTATATAGTATGTCTTAGGCCCCCTTTATACACAATACTATTATGTGGCCTTGGTTGGCCGCCAGCATAAACTATTCTACAATACTATATAGATGGCATTAGACCACCGTCATATACAATACTATATGTGGCCTTGGGCCGCCAGCATAAACTATTCTATCATTACAATAATATATAGGTGGCCTCAGGCCCCCGTCATATACACTACTATATGTGGCCTTGGGCCCCATCATACACTATAATTACAATTCTATATAGGTGGCCTTAGGCCCTTGTCATACAAATACAACGCCGGCAACACTATAACGGGCTACTAATAACTTACCGAGTGCGGCACTGGCAGTTGTCTTGTTTTTTCCCATTTAATTTTATATCTATGCCTATGGGTAATACAATCGGCATATACCATGGTAACCTGTTTTAGCATTACTAAAATACGTAAACAAAAAGAACCATTTTCGGTCGCGGAAGGGTTATTGTCGAAGTGAGCTGACGGGGGCTGGTGCCACCGGCGGGGGACGAGGTGGCCTAAAGCGACACT